ACTAGAGACGGGGTTTCTTCATGTTGGCCAGGCTGGTCTCGAACTCCCGACCTCAGGCGATCCACCTGCCTTGGTCTCCTAAAGTGCTGGAATTACAGACGTGAGCCACCGTGTTTCGCTTAAACAGGTTTTGTTTTGTTTTGAGACACAGTCTCATTCCGTCACCAGGCACCAGGCTGGAGTGCAGTGGCGCGACCTTGGCTCACTGCAACCTCCGCCTCCCGGGTTCAAGCAATTCTCCTCCCTCAGCCTCCCAAGTAGCTGGGACTACAGGTGCCCACTTAAACAGGTTTTAAAAGAAATTTTGTATTCTCCATGTAGAACTGGTAATGTCTAATTTATGGATTGAAATAAGGAAAGTTTTTTTAAAATTATAACTTTTCATTAATACATATAATGCTTTTAGTTTTTGGGTTTTTTTGAGACAGAGTCTTGCAATGTCACCCAGGTTGGAGTGCTATGGCGTGATCTTGGCTCACTGCATTCTCCACCTCCTGGGTTCAAGTGATTCTCCTGCCTCAGCCTTCTGAGTACCTGGTATTACAGGTATGTGTCACCACCCCTGGCTAATTTTTTGTAGAGATGGGGTTTCACCACGTTATCCAGGATGGTCTCGATCTCCTGACCTCGTGTCCCACCCACTTTGGCCTCCCAAAGTGCTGGGATTACAGGCATGAGCCACTGCACCCAGCCAATGCTTTTAGTTTTAAATGTACTTTTACCACCATTACTTAATTCCATATTTAATAATTTGAGTTAACAACAACTAACGTGTCTGCAAAGTCAGTGATTAGTGGTATTAATATCTCAAGGTTCCCTGTGTACTTCTACCTTAAGCTGCCTTGTGTTCATGATTATGAAGCAAGAGTTAGAAAGTAATTTGGAAATTCAATCTGCAATTTTATTTTATATAGTCACTCAAGTGCTACTGTTTTGTTTTTTTTTCTGCCCTTAAGGTATATTTTTAGCTGTTAAAAATGCGTTTTACCTCAGTCTATGTGTGTAATCTTTAGGACTTAAAAACCATTTCATAAAACATAAAACATAAAAACATCTCATAACTCCCAATAAATGTTATGTTTTCTATCTGATTGATAACATTTTACAAATATTTCAGAATATAAATACAATATTATTAAATAATTTAAAAAAAATTTATCCAAATCAGATAGTCTTTCATTATTTCCCTTATTTATCTGTGTCTGCCGCTATTTTCTGCTCTTTTTTTTTTTTTTTTTCCTTTTTTTTTTCAGGATTTCATTTTTTTGCCTAGGGTGGTGTGCAGCGGCACCATCAGGGATCCCTGCAGCCTAAACTTCCAGGGTTTAGATGATCCCTCCACCTCACTCTCCTGGGTAGCTGGTACTACAGGCACATGCCACCCACACCTGGCTAATTTTCTGTTTTGTGTAGAAATGGGGTTTGCCATGTTCCCAGGCTGATCTCTAATTCTTGGGCTCAAATGATCTGCCCATCTCAGCCTCCCAGATTGCTGGGATTATAGGCATCAGCCTCTGCACCTGGCTATTTCTGCTTTTTGGAGTATTATGTATGGACCTTTTACGTATTGTCTGACACAGAAATTGCAAAGTAGATCATAGACCTAAATATAAGAAGTAAACGATAAAACTTTTAGAAGACATAGGAGAAAATCTCAGTGACCTTGGATTAGACAGAGGTTTCTTAAATATGTCACCAAAATCACAATCCATAGAAGAAGATGCTAATTTGAACATCAAAATTGGAGATTTTTGTGCTTCAAAAGACGTTATCAAGAAAATGAAAAGACGTGTTACAGACTGGAAGAAAATATTTGCAAATAGTATATCTGAGAAAAGACTTGTGCTTATGATATATTGGGAGCTCTTCATTTATTATTATTACTGTTTTGAGACATAGGGTCTCACTCTGTTGTCCAGGCTGGAGTACAGTGGCACAATCTCAGCCCACTGCAGACTCAATCCCCCGGTTTCAAGCGATCCCCCCACGTCAGCCTCCAGAATAGCTTTTGTGGAGATGAGGTTTTGCCGTGTTGCCAGACTGGTCTTCAACTCCTAGGCTCAAGCCATCCAGCTACCTCAGCCTCCCAAAATGCTGGGATTACAGGCATGAGTCATTGTGCCTGGCCAAGAATTCTTGTAATTCAGTAATGAGACCAAAAATTCAGATTAAACATGGACAGAAGAACAGACATGTCACCAAAGTGGCTAACAATTAGGCTGGGCACGGTGGCTCACATCTGTAATCCTAGCCCTTTGAGAGTCCAAAGTAGGAAGATCGCTTGAGCTCAGGAATTCAAGACCAGCCTGAGCAACATAGTGAGACCTCATTTGTATAAAAAATTTTTAAATTAGCTGGGCATGGCAGCCTGTACCCGTAGTCCCAGCTACTTGGGTAGCTAAGGTGGGAGGATTGCTTGAGGTCAAGGCTGCAGTTAGCTGTGATCGTGCCACTGCACTCCTGCCTGGGCTTTGGAATAAGACCCTGTCTCAAACAAAAACAAACAAAAACCAAAGTAACTAATAATCACATGAAAAAATGCTCAGCGTCATTAGTTGTTTTGTTTTATTTTTATTATTATGTTGTTTAGAGACAAGGTCTGGCTCTGCCACCTGGGCTGGAGTGCAGTGGTGCTATCTTGGCTTACTGCAACCTCCGTCTCCCAGGCTCAAGCCATCCTCCTACCTCAGCCTCCCTAGTATTTGGGACTACAGGCATGTGCCACCATGCCCAGTTCATTTTTGTATTTTTTTGTAGAGACACTGTTTAGCCATGTTGCCCAGGTTGTATTAAACTCCTCAACTCTAGCAATCTGCCTGCCTTGGTCTCTCATAGCGCTGGGATTACAGGCCTCAGCCACTGTACCCAGCCTACTTATTTTAGAAATGGTTATTAAAACCACAATGAGATACCACTGTATAGCCACTGGAACAACTGTAATGAAAAAGAGACAATAATAGGTATTGGTGAGGATTTGGAGAACCTGAAACCTTCATTTTCCTATTGGAAATGTAAAATTGTAGAGCCACTTAGGAAAACAATTTGGCAGTTCCTTAAAAAGTTAAACTGACCAGGGAACCTAGAAATTACATTCCGAAGTATTTACCTAAGAGAAATGAAAGCACATGTTTGTACAAAGACTTATATGTGAATGTTCATAGCAACTTTGTTTGTAATATGCAAAAACTGAGAAAAACCCAAATGTCCATCAGTGAATGAATGGATAAACAAAGTGTGTTATATCCACATGATTGGATACTACTCAGCAATTAAAAAAAGAATGAATATTGATACAGCAAATGAGTACATTTCAAGATAAATATGCTGAGTAAGAGAAGTCAGATGCAAAAATGTATGTAATATGTGACTACTTAACACAAAAGTTTGCAAAATACTAATTCATAATGACAGCAGATCAGTTGTTGCAGGGATATTGGGTATAGGGGATGATGATTGACTGAAACAGGGCTTGCAAGCTCTTTTGGGGTTATTAAAAATGTTCTTAGATTGTGGTGATGATTATACTCCATAAGTTTACTAAAAATTAGCAAAATGTACATTTAAAATGGGTGAAATTTTTTATAGTCATAATGGCAAAATTCTTTTTTTCTCTTTTTTGAGATGAAGTCTCGCTCTGTCGCCGAGGCTGGAGTGCAGTGGTGCAGTCTTGGCTTACTGCAACCTCCGCCTCCTGGGTTCAAGCGATTCTTCTGCCTCAGCCTCCCAAGTAGCTGGGACTACAGGCACATACCACTACGCCCAGCTAATTTTTGTATTTTCAGTAGAGATGTGGTTTCACCATATTGGCCAGGCTGGTCTCAAACGCCTGACTTCGTGATCTGCCCATCTCAGCCTCCCAAAGTGCTGGGATTACAGGGATGAGGCACACGCCTGGCTTATGGTAAAAATCTTAATTATAGACATTGTAAACTGTTGGCTGACATTTGTATTCACAGGTGATAGTAATGAAGAGAGAAGCCATGCAGCAACAGCTTTGTAAAAAATACAGCAAGAGAAGAAATGGAGCATTACTTTTTTAAAAACCATTTAACCATTTTTAAGCATACAGTTCAGTAGCGTTAAGTAAATTCACATTGAGACCAGGTGCAGTGACTCATACTTGTAATCCTAGCACTTTGAGGGACTTAAGTGGGAGGAGAATTACTTGAGCCCAGGAGTTCAAGACCAGCCTGGGCAATGTACTCTAAGACCTATCTCTTAAAAAAAAAAAAAAAAAGAAAGAAAGAAAGAAAGAAATTAGTTGGTGTGGTGTGTCCCTATAGTCGCTGCTACTCAGGAGGCTGAATTAGGAAGACCACTTGAGCCCAGGAGGCTGAGGGCATGATTGTGATTGTGCCACTAAATTCTAGCTTGACCCTATCTCAAAAAGAAAAAAGTATATTCATATTTGTTGTGAAACAGATCTCCAGAACTTTTCCATCTTGCAAAACTGGAGCACTATAGCCGTTATACAACTCCTCTTTCTCCTCCCTCTGACTCTGGTTACCACCACTCTACTGTCTGTTTCTGTGAATTTGACTACTTTAGATACTTCACATAACTGGAATCACAGTTTTTATCTTTTTGTGACTGGCTTATTTCGCTTAGCATAATGCCCTCGGGTTTTTTGTTTTGTTTGTTTATAGTCCAGGTGTCTTTGATTTTTTTTTTTTTTTTTTTTGCCATCTAATAGCCACAAATTTCCAGGGAATAGGTTTTATAGCAGCTCAAACTCCTGTCCATTGGTTCTCACAGAGTGTGCTTTCCTGGGTGGAGAATGTTGGTGCTTCAGCTGTTCCTAGGTACCTTTCGCTTTGGCTTCCATCTTTTTCTGACCTTTTTCCTTCATGTGTTTTGGGAAGCTATCTAAGCTGTAGTCCTTTATATGTTCATTATATACATTAATTATTTTGGCAAGGATCTTGTTTGTTACAGCAATGCCAACAAACAAGATTCTTGCCAAAAGAATTAATGAGTTAACATTAATTCCAACAACATACTGGGTGGGTAACATTGTAACTTCCAGTTTTACCATGGTAATATTTATAGGGCATTCCTTTTGAACAGTAGCCTTTTTCTTGATGTCTACAGCATCACTTTTTTTTTTGTAGATTTCTATGTCTGTGGCCAAAGGAACGACTCCATGTTTTCCAAAAGCCCTAGAGAACATATTGCAGGTGCCTCTTCTCTTTTCTTTTCTGTTTTTCATCTTGGTAAATTATTGGAAGATGATGGTTCCCTGCGAAAGGCCAGACAAAATGGATGAATTTTAAAGTATGTAAATTATACCTCAAAAAAACTATTTTAAAAAGTAGAATTACCCTTAAACTAGACTCTGTATCAAAGGGGTTGAATAGATAGCTTCAAAATGGACCAAAATATGCATACTATTTAAGAGAAGTATCAAAAATATTTTAACTGCGTTATTGAGGTGTGATTAATATACTAAAAGCTGAAGGTAGTTAGTGTATATAACTTGATGTGCTTGGAAAGAGGTATAACACCTGTAAAAACCATTATTACAATCAATGCCATAGACTTATATCCATTATCTCCACAAATTTCTTCCTGTCACCTTACCTTTGTTTCCTTTTTTCATTAGAGCACTTAACATGATATACCTTTTTAGCACATTTCTAAACATACAATACATTATTGTTAATCATAGACCCTATTTGTGCAGTAAGTTTCCAGACTATATTTCTTTTGCATAACTGAAAATTTGAAGAGGTATCAAAAGTTAATGGGGTAAAAAAAGATTTTTCAGCTGGGCATGGTGGCTCAAGCTTGTAATCCCAGCACCTTGGGAGGCCGAGATGGGCAGATCACGAGGTCAAGAGATTGAGACCATTCTGGCTAACATAGTGAAACCTTGTCTCTACTAAAAATAAAAAATTAGCCAGGTGTGGTGGTCCATGCCTGTGGTCCCAGCTACTTGGGAGGCTGAGGCAGGAGAATCGTTTGAACCTGGGAGGTGGAGGTTGCAGTGAGCTGAGATGGTGCCACTGCACTCCAGTCTGATGACAGACTGAGACTGTCT